ATATAAGATCAAGCTTTAGGGCATAAAACAGTGTTTAGCTTTATATAGAAAAGAGAAGGTTCTTAATATTAAGCTGCCCATTAAAAGAAACAGCTTTATTAGGTGGAAGAATTTATAATGATTCGCTAAGGTGATTCCAGTGCTCTTTTTCTTTAGGATTTCTTTCCATATCCCATCCAAGTACTACTTTCTTGCCTAAAGAGTACTTTGCAAATCTTGCATTCATTTTCATTCACGTTATTAAGCTAAAAGTATTTTAAACTCCCACACCGCCCAGCTTTCACATGTTAAAAAAATAAAAGCTGATTTTCACCTTGAAAATATTTTTCTTTTTAAGTCTAATTTTCTTCCTTTGGCTGTTTTGCTTGACAAAGAATGATATTCAAAGGGTATGGATATGTCCAGAATATGTTCCCTTTGAACAACATCCCTTTCCCAGGGAAAGTGAAAATGGATACAGAGGTACTGGGGGGGCTTAACTCTCATGCAGACGGTGTTTAAACTCCCTGACAATTTATTCATTACAGCTTCTGACTCTGGGTTACTTCCTCTTCCTCCAGTGGATATTTACTCCCATATGCTGTATTTTAGCAAGATACTTTATTTCTTTTGTTGTCTTTGTCTCCTTTCCAGTGCCTTACACTCTGAGATGATGTAGTGAAATGCCTCATTCTGCTGGCACAGACCTTCACACTAACAATATTGTGCTGGCCTGGGGGTCTGGCAAGGAGACATGCTGCTGCCAGGTGGGACAAGCCCAGTTGGAGACACCCAAGTCATTCCAGGCCTCCAGCCAAGGGGGTTGGGGAGTTGCTTTGTAGTTGAGTTGACGTAGCCACTGGTGTCGGGACCAGCAGAGCTGTCTGCCAGGTTTCTCAACTGGCGGTGCCTGAATGCCATTGTAGGAGCCTTGCTGTGAGGGCAGGAATGGGGAAAGGGACTGGAAATGGGAATCAGTCACCCAAGTCTCATGTAGTGGCAGACCCAAATTGCATTCAGAGCACACACACTTTCCTTGATCACAATATCTTCTTTGTTGTACATGTGTGCTGAGATTTAGAGTCTGAGCAAATAATTTGTAGCTGTTAAAGTTGCTATATTACAGATTTATGGGAATCCTTTTTTGTCCCAGAACCACATAAACCAGGAAAACCTAATATTCATTGCCAAAAAGCAAACTCTTACTAAGTTTAGAATATCAAACACACAGGTACAACATTTCCACACATGGCATTGTACCACTGTGGCTGTACTTGCACACAATTAGACAAAGGAAGAAATCTGATTACTCCACGATTGAAATCAATGTGCCTGTTGCTGTTGTTCCAGAGAGAAGAGCACTGTCTTCCAGGCAGGGCAGAAACTTCACTTTGAACTTCCTGAGTTGACAAGGGCTTAAATCAGAACTGTAACTTTACTTTGATGTAATTTACTGTGGTTTAATACCCCCTTTTATTTATTTTTTTACAATCACGTAAAATATATAAAGAAACCTAATCTGTTAGGGAGGTGTATGAGGATTTACTGAATAGACCTTAATGGTTCCTTTATACAACTATAAAACACAAGGAAGCTATAAGAGCAGTCTGAACTGGACTAGGAACTTGAAATGTTATATAAATTTATTTGTCATCATCAAAGGTTTATTGCTGTAGGTATTTAACTTCCCCATTGTTTAACTAGGTTGTGTATTTCTCAGACAACTATGGTAAAAAATATGTGGTACAAGGAATTAAGGAGAGCTTGAAAGCATGGATGAAAAGGCCAAATGTGCTTTTGGAAATGTATTATAAAACCAGAGTGACTTTACTGATATAATGCACTTACACTACTATCAAACCTGAACACTTGAAGCTAAAATATGGCTATGATAGAGTTAATTCTTCCCTCCCTCACCATAGGTTAATCTGGAGTAGTTAAATGAAGCTCATGATAGAATGTTTCTTAATTTTGATCCATAGAAATCAATGAAGACTCTGTCCCTAAACAAAGTAGGGTTTTCTCTCTCACCTTTAAAGTATTAACTATCCAATACCTTCTTGCTGTTTATTGTAGATAAGCAGCTGAACAGTATTTAGTGAGTTCATAGAGTCACAAGTGGCATGTTCTTCAGGCAGGCAATTTTTGAAAGCTTTAATAAAGTGTAGTAATAGACCACAAGGATATTTATTAAATCATGATACATCAAACCAGACAAGGCAAAGCACAGTCCTACTGAAATAGTGGTGTGATTAAATTTGGCTAGATACAACTAGAGAGAAAATTCTGAGTTATTTAATAATGTTCAAACCATTGGTCAGCTTTAAATTATGTGGAGTCAAAGTCAGATGGTCCACATGAAACAAAGAATATCAGATTTTAACACAGGATCTATTTCCATTTTGTTAATTTTTAATGTTACATGAATTTGCTGTATTTGCCCATTTTTACTCTTGCAGGCATTGAATTATTAACACACTTCCATGGCTTTTCCATCTTTATTTTATTAAAAGGAATAAAGGACTACAACATTAAGAAAAATGTTGAAACATACATTGTAATTTTGGTGATTTATGCCAGGTATTTATTTAGTACTCTACCATTCTGACAGTGGAAAGCAGTCTGTGGATACATATGATAAGTATATGTTCATGTTTATACTTGTGTGGGAGGAAGAGTATGTATGCACCAGAAATTGTGTGTATTTTTATTAAGAGGGGTCATAATGGAAAGATTAAGAGAGACCTGTAATAACATCCATCTTTATTTCTTTCAATTTCCTGTTGGATTACCTTAACTATCTCTATGTTTTCTCTTCCATCTCAGTTGGAAAGATACTTAAGTTGTCAGCAGTAAGCCAAGGACACAGTAAGATTCTGTATGTGTTCCTCTGGGTGCTCTTTTCAATACGTGGGCATTATCTGCTATTCAAATAAACAATGAATTTGGAAGAGCAGTGTCATTTCAGTACAGTCCTTTGTGTAAGACAGGGAATCAGTAGTTTTATCTGTGTAAGTTCATTGCTTTTCCCTGTGGTGGCCTAAGGCAAGCCTCACATTGCACATGCATTTTCCTGGCAGAGCCATTATTTTGTATTTGGGAGGATCTGGTTTAATTAGCAAACAAGTTGCAGAGGTGGATGATGCCAGTCAATGAGATTTCTTTGGAGGCAGTAGCTCAGGTGACTTTTCCATGGGCCCTGGTCCACTTGGAGAGGTGCAGCTGAGTGTTCTCCAAAAAAAATAAATTAAATATGCACAGAAAAGTTTCCTTCATTTTAAACAAAAACGTTACTGGAGGTGGTTATTTTATTTCAATGCTCTTATTTTTCTCCTATTTGGAATCCATTATTTCTAAGTGTGTCAGTAGACTGATTATTTCTTTTCATTGTTAGACCTAATTGAAATAAAAATATTAAATAAATGGGAAAAGTTGACATCTTGACTATCAGGTTAGACATTTCCATTTTAATAACATTAAGCATTAATGAAGACATTTTTGTTAACAGATAACAGATAATGTTTGTACTAGGGATTGTTAGTGTTGCGATTAAGTTTTTAATTTCTGGGAATTAGAATTGCTCATGATGGGTAATTTACCTAGGTAAAAAATGTGAAGTCCAAGTCTTGCAAAGCTCACATTCTAGGGCCATCAGTAATTGCATTAAAGTTTAACATGTACTCATCTTTGTAAAACTGGCCCCTAAACACAGACAATGAAAGTGAGGCAGCATTCATATTGTTGTTAGAAACATTATATCAATGATTTGTTTTTCACCAACTCCTTCCATCTGGCCCATTTTTCTTCTAATTGTTACTTAATTGATTACAAGCAAACAGTTGGTCCATTTTTCTTCATTATTTCATTCTGACACATTTTTATAAATGAGTTTTTTTTTTACAAACTTGACAATAGCATAAATTACAAAGATGAAACATTTCTGAAACAAAAATTAGGATTTTTTTTGTGTAATCTTTTCTTCAAGGGTGGATGCTTTATTAAATGGCAACCACAGATATTTAAATGAGAATCTAAATGAGGATATTTATTAAATGCTTAGAAATAAGCAAGCTTATAAACAGCATGAAATGATCACACTTTTAAAATCTGTTCATTCAGCCATACATCCCTAACACAGAAGAGCTCTCATTAGTCATATTCACTGAATTAACTCTGTGGATACATTTTTTTCCCATTTCTTTGCAGAGAGAATGTGCTAATTTCATCAAGGTGCTTAAGACTTACAACCAAACCCATTTGTATGCTTGTGGAACAGGGGCTTTTCATCCAGTCTGTGCCTATATTGAAGTTGGAAGCCATCCTGAGGTAAACTATCTTAAAACAATGTTTTTATTTTTCCTCTTTTTAATCTCTATTGGTGTTTAGCCATGATTTCTTCCTGCCAAAATGCAGTCTCATTAGTTTCTGTGGCTCGGTGGGTGGATCTGGTAAGACCTGCTCCTGAATCAGGTGCTGACGTGCTGATTGATAAATCACAGCAGAATCTCTCCTTTTCTCCCCTACACAGCATCTTTTCCCCTAGGGGCCTAAATAAACATGAGTAAGCCCATTCTACCTGGTTCATGAAGTTAAAAGCACTTCCTTTTTTGGATTGGGATGGATACAAGGTGTAAGAGCAGTAGTTCAGCCTGTGTGTTTATTCTGGGGCCAACTCTGTCCTTTAGTCTCCCAGCAGTCAGTGCAGTCTGACACCGTGACAGATTTCTCCTAGCTGGGAATGAAAATGGTGTCATATATTCCTAAATGCCACTTCTTAGATTTGTCCTAGCACACTAACAATTTTTCATCTGTGACCTAGGTTTTGTTTCCTTACTTTTTAGTGGAAACCAAACAATTTTTCTGAAATGTGTAGCTTGCTGATTTTTGCTTAGTGTTGCAGAAATCTCGTAGTACCTCTTTTGCTGTTTTGTCAGTGATCAGCATAGATCGTAAATAGGTAAGTAGGGTCTTCCCTGGTGGAAAACCTTATCACCCACAGAAAGCAGTGGGGCTGTGCTGGTTTTCCTGGCTGAAGATCTGACTAAAATTTCTCTGTGCTCCATTGCAATACGTTTTCTCTCCAGAAAAAACAATCTTTTATTTTCCTGTTAAAATAAATATGTAATATAGATTAGTCTGCTTTACTTTGTTTTCAGTCTGGTTTACCTGGTATTGCTCGATGGGCTGTTGCAATATAGCAACCAGACTCTTGATGTGTTTTCAGCAGTCACTAATTTGTGGTTATGTTTTACTGGTAAATCTATAGTTGAGTTCTTGTAGCTTCTGCAATCTTCAAAGAACAGTTCTTTCAAATTACCTTATGATTTTTCAATTCAGGTTTGCAGATTTTCCTGAAAATAAAGACATGATTGTTAAATGAATAAGGATGAGGTTTTTAAAAAAAATCAGAATTTCTTGTAGAAAAATTAACAGACCTTTTGAGTATTGACTTTATAGTCTGGGAACCATTTGCCTCTATAAAAATGTCTTTTGATATTTGAAACATAAGTCTTTATAATGTTCTAAGCATAAGGTTTTGAAGGGATAAAGGAGCTGTAAAGTAGAAAGGGTTTTTTTCATATTCTTTAATGCTTTATTCCAGAATGCATTCTTGGCAATTAGTGATTGTCTCTTGACCACACACAGTATGTCATTGCTTACTGCATTAAACAGATTCTCTTCTTCCTGAGATCCATTTGGGAATTGGTAGACATATTAATTAACTCTAGTTCTGTAAGATGTGTGTCAATCAATTCTTGGCTATCTGCCAAGCGAATCTCTCTGCAGAGAGATAGCTGGTATGAGGTCATTTACTTCTACATTTGGCTGTTTTATGACTGCACCATAAAGCTAACACACACTTTATCAAGGTTTTATGGAAAGGATGATCAGAGATGAGAAGCCAGAGCCAACCTTGTTTTAACTTTCTGGATTTTGAAAGTCTTGAGTCAATGATGTGTTTGTCCTTGGAGCTGAAAGAGCATGTTTGTTTTAGCTTCTATTTAGCAGCCCCTAGCTATAAACAAAATCTAAATTGTTGCTTTTTTTGGTCATTTATGCAGTAAGTTTGTTAGTCCCCTGTGACTGAATCATTCTCATGACCCTTGATTTCTTCTTTGTAAACCAGGCAACTCAGGAGTATGTTTATCTGAACTACTACGACACTGTTAGCTTTTGATTTCCTTTCCATACTTCAGCTATGAGTGAAGTCATCTCCACCTGCCTTTCCACTGGCATAAGTTTCTGTATCCTCTGGACAGTTACACAGGAGAGGTCACTGCCTTCTCAACCAAAGTCTGCCCCTGCAGAGAGAAAGTGGGGCAGGCAGGAAGGAACAGTGCCCACCTCTTCTCAGGCTTTGACAAATCTGACAGTCTGCCTGGGCCCTGTCCCTTGCGAAGTTGAAAATCAGATGAATAAATGAATTTATTAGCTTTGCTATGAAAAACAATCTGGCCTGTCTCTGTCTTTCAGCCAGAGCCTGCTCCTTCCATTCCCATACCACCTAGCCAGGAATTTCAAATGTGCATCTTCTCCTGGAACTGGGGAAGAGGAGGGGGCTTGACTGACAGTAGCTCTGTTAGAGACACTATGAATGGAGGGGGTACAATATTAACCCCTGCACACTGCAGCTGTGAAAGCCAGATGGTTTATGTTGTCATGTCAGACAGCAGCACTGGACGTGTCAAAGGACCACTGCTTCTGTAGCATGTTTAGTTTATACATCCCTAGCATACTAAAAAAGGTAAAAAGTAAAAGCGAAGGCAAGTGGTTTTTTTGAGTTAAAAATTACCATCTAGAGCAATTCCTGAAGATTAATTTTCTGCCACAGCACTTGTAGAAAATTAACTGACTTCACCATCTGCTTATTTATTTTTTAAAGCACTTAGAGAGGTAAATGTGAACTGATTATATGAATAGTCAGGGAATGTACCTAGTGTCTAGTAATATTGGTTGTTTATGTGAGCTCTGAATATAACCCACCTGCCTGAGTCTGGTGAGGAGAGGAAATTAGTGGATGCCAAACTGAAGAGGATGAAGAAGTGAAATTTAAGAAAAAGAGTGGCAAGTGATAGAGAGACACTGGAAGCAATTGGAGTAGACTGCAGGAGGCTGGAATATGGTACAAGTCTTGCAACTGAGGAAGGAAATAAATTACTTTGTGTGACATTCATAAAGTAATGGGAATATGAATTGTTATATCTGTTGAATATCTCTTCAATATGAAGCAGCCCTGTTCCATACTTGAAGAAAACCATTTCTAGTGATGAAATCAGGCAGGTCTAATTGAGTTTGATGAAGTACAGTATCAGAAATAATAATAAAAAGGTAAAAGAGTATGAACAGCATGCTGTGCATCTGATTAAAACTGATCTGTGCAAATGTATAGTACCTAGTATGTTGTGAATTACACCACAGTCTAAGGAGTAAAGCAGCCTAATCTTCTCTTAAATCCATTCCAGATGTGTAAGCGAATAACCACAGTATTTAGAGAAAAGAATAAAGTTAATGTTTGAATAGACTTTAAGCACATAAGCTATGAGTAAGCGGGAAAGAACGTTTAGAGAGAATCTAGCATGTGTATATGTAGAAAATACCTGAGGAAAGCCTATTTTAAAGCTTGAGGTCATCCATTGGAGAGGCTATATATTTGTGCTTTCATTTTGTGGGACAAACAGGCTCATATGCAGATGTCTGTATTGTATTTGCTTGAGTTTAGATGAGATGACCTGACACTGACACCTACACTAACTTCAGGGATCCGGTGTTGGGCAACATGTGGCATTGTCTCCACATAATGCAATATAGTACAAGAAACCAATTACCAGACAAAACAAGAAAGTAATTAGTAAAGCTATGTTCTGCTCCTGCTGACTTCTGAGGAAACAGGATTGGATGTGTTGGAATGTTGTACTTAGTGACTGCAAAATTACACAAGTCAGATCTGTGCTTGAAAGGAACGAATCCAACTGCAGGGAGACACAGAAGTGCATTAAAGCTGCTAGGAAATCACAACAGAATGCAAAATGCACTTGCCTGTGCGTGCCTGAGCAGGGGGAAGGAGCCTGCCTCCTTTCCCCTGGGCTCCCTTTGGGGTAGTTTGTGTGACCCAGCAGGGAATAGTCCTGTTTAGGAAAGAACAGGATTTCCCATTTACTTAACTCCTACATACAGGTGGAGCTGTAAAGAATGCCCTGTAGAACCTTTTTTTTTTTACACTCAGACAGGCATTGCAAGAGCTGTACAAAATTGTTTGCCAGATCCTCAGCAGTAATACATCAGGATTTCTTCAAAAGAGGTAAATCAATAGATGCTGTCTGAAGACCCAACCCGGCTTCTTTTATTGTCTCCTAATTCCAAATTTCTTGTCATTTTCCAACAGATTAAAACTCATTATTAAGTGGGGGAACTTAAAAGATCTGGGATCACTTTACTTACAGGTTATTTCTCATTCTTAATCAATAAAGAAGCTCTAAATTTAGTTCAGATTTATGATGTACATAAAACATTAAGTTGTTGCATATGAAGTTATATAACGCTACCACCTGTAACATATTTGGTTTTTCCGGACTCTCTGTATTTTAAAAATCTTTAGTTTAACTCATAAAATTTTGCTGAATTATACTTTCCACTTTTTTTTTTTTTTTTATCCCTTCTGTGCTTCACATTAGAAGAGGTCTAGAGTGCATTTTCTAAGTAATGGACATCCTATTCTGATACATTTATGCATTTTTCTTTTTTTATCTGTCTGCATATATTATATATACATATAAAGTGATGGAAGAGAAGGTTTTTTCCTGAGAATGAGTTTGGAGGAACACATTGCTTGAAGGACCAGTGAGTGCTGCTACTGGTAGAAAGTGTGTTGTGTTCTGTTATCTACTATAAAATTGAGGGTAAAACATTGACTTCAGTAGTAGCTGATGTGTTATAAATTGGCCTAACTTCATTGAAGGCAGCAAAGCTGTGTCAATTTACATCAGTTAACATTCTGACCTGTACTTTTTAAGTGAAATATTTGAGCAAGTGATTTTTTAAGTTAAGAGTCACCTCAGGCTAAAATACTTTTATATAGCATTTATATGCTTACCCAATATATAGAGAAAATATGAAGAAAGATAGTGTTAAAGGATGATCCTCATTTGTGATGTAATAACTGTGACAGAACTAGTGTGACATACTAATTCTAAGCATCATTATATTCACAGATAAATGCCAATAAAAGGTCTAGTTTGCAGACTGTAACTGCCTATATTAGTTCAGAGATGCTTTAACCTTTCAAACTAGCATCCTGTTGCTATAGGACATGAAAATAAAACTGAAGA